GAGTGAAATGCGCAAATTTCGTTCTTTGTCTCTGCAAAATTTCGAAGAAAGTTCACCCGAAAATTCAAGCGTCTTTTCGCAACGTCTTGAGCGTTATTTCTTTAAAACAAAGGACGAAAATTTGCGGCATTTTCAAGACCAGAACGACAATTCCTTACCTGCAGAGGGATAATTCCGCTTGCAGTATGCGAAATATTGCAGTGCAGTGCACTGACAAGTATTGAGCCATCAATGTATCATTCTCTTGTGAACAAACTGCGGTCACGTTGACGCTTTACTCCTCTATAAAAGTCGCTGTTGTTAATGTGTTAATCCGTCTTTCATGGCAAAGAACGTAGAGAATTTGAATCCTTTGATCGTTTTCAATGACACGAACTTGCCAACTTAAGCTTTGCCACGTCACCGTGCCAGGAAGGCAGGTACAAAAGGCGGACCGCTAGTTCAGGTAAACTCAAACGAAAGTAAAATTCTTAATAAAGTCTTTTTGAAGGCCTACTTCACCTCAAATTTCATCCAAAGTGACATCAAATTCAGTGATCAATGGACAAGCAGACATGTTTGTCTAGTGCCAGGCCTCCACGTGCGCAGTCCCCTCAGCTGTTATCGTGTTTGCCATGTTCTTGTCCGCCTGCCATGATGGATAACATATTATTCGTGACAATCCCTCTTTATTTCACACTCGTAAATAAGACATGGAGACATGCGACTGTGCTTGAGCATGTTGGAAGTGCAAAACAATGGGATTAGGGAAGGAAAAGTGCAGAGATGTTCGGATGGCAAGTGCAAAAGGGAAAGACACGGTATCCGGTCGTATCATCAATGAGTTGGTTCGCCAACGTTTCATTTGCCAACGTCTCAGGTAGATTGGCCAATGTCCTAAGTCGCTTCGCCAACGTCCTACTGGTCAATTTGCCAAAGTCTAAATAAAAGTTTACCTTCACTTGTGTGTGTTGTCACTTATTTCAATACCTCACCTAGAATTATTTTCCATGCAAGAGCACCGCATTATTTAGGACGACAGTTCTCTGCTACGCTAACCCTCCTGCTAAGATTTTTTGTATGAACACTAATGGGGGGAGGAAGCATAACTGATTTATAACAATCAATATCGCTTGAATGTTACTAAAACTACGAGTTAAAAAGTCTTCAGCCGAGTTAAACAGATCTGTAAGAGACTGGCCTGAATACCGTATTTACCTGTGTATTAGTCGATCCCGTGTATAAGTCGACCCCCAATTTTTGAGGCCAAAAACTAGATTTTCTTAATTTCCGGGTAAGAATTTCTTGGAAAACTTATCTTGTATTTCTTAAAATTATCTTTCAGCTACCACAGATATGTAAACAAATCACAGCATGTTTCAATGCACAGTTTTAAAGCTTATTATGGCATGTATACGAGCATTTTACCCAGTTTAGCAACACGTGTGCATGCGGGCTTTTCGACGATAATTTTTGTAAAATGCTCACGAAAATCAAACGTAAGGATTTCAAATTTAAGTGTGAAGAGATTAAAAGTGGCTTTATAAGACAGGCAAAACACCAAAGAAGCTCACGACTTTCAGAACGATGCCATAAACAAAGTGCAAAGCGTGTGTTGGGAACTTGGTAGTCAAGCCTTGAAATTGGTCAAGTACTGGTACAGAAGTCCTCGCACTCGTATCCTGCCAGGTTACCTAGCAGAGAAGTTCGAAACGTAAAAGATGTTTTCTCCGAGCGGCTTTACTACAGCTTTATTTAAAGGAAAAATATTGGTTCTTTATGACAAAATTGAGCCAGTGAGTGTCTACAACATTAGGGTTAAACTTTAACGGATAAATGTTGATGCATTTTAACTTGAAGCTCTGATATAGAGAGACAGATCGCTAAGCGAACGTACGTTGTAAACTGTGCTGCTGTTTATCACATGTTTGTTAACATTGAAAGAGAATTATTATGCTGATTATTTGACAGGCACTTGGATCTCAAGTTTTGACCCATGTATAAGTCGAGGGCGAATTTTTGGACTGATTTTTAGGTCCTGAAAGGTCGACTTATACATGGGAAAATACGGTAGTTTGATAATAGCTTCGAACCTTCGACGGTAATATTGCAAGGTCGCACAGAGCCTGGGTTCGTTGTGGCTGCACCGTGAGCACTTCCGCGAGTAGCATTTCTTGTTCAATGAAAACATGTTGGCAAACAGACCATTTGAGCTTGCGAGCTTTAAGACTGCAACAAACAAAGTGATACCAGCTTTCTCTGGACATAAGCAAGGTAAGTTTGTGAGAAAAGGCTTTGAGATATTACTATCACTCACAATGATATTAATGCTTTTATCACGCATGTTCTTGTTTTGCTCTGGCTTAATTCATCTTACTGCTGGGAATTGATGGGAAACTTAAGGAACAGAGCAAATTTTTGCTAGAAAGTTCGCAGGAAAATTCAAGGAGAGCGAATTTTCGCGCGAAAAATCGGGCCAAATTATCAGTAGACACGAATTACTGCTCGAAAATTCGCTTCGACTAAAACAATGAGCAGCGGGAAAATTCGTTGAATTTTCTTCCAACTTTCGAGGTGAACAAAACTTCGCCATTTTTCGTCGAAAAGCCCCGAAATTCGCAAATTTCGTTGAATTATGCTCTCATTACTTTTGCACAATACTGTACATCTCTCACGCACTCATCCATTGATCCGTTTATAACACAGCCCAGAACTGTTGATTAAGACGTATTTTTTTTACAAAAAAAAATAACTCAAAAACACCCTCCTTAGAAACCAGGTCCCTAACCTTAAGAAGTCCGAGGTTATGGAAACTGGCAAAAAATGGATTTCCCCTCACTTAAAATATACCTGTTGTTCCAGATAATTTGATTTGTTATCCTTTCATAAGATGATGAGTCACTATTAATCATAGAAGACCAGGCTTGCAAACACTGTCTGTACATGACAGGAAGAGTAATGTATAATTTCCTACTATTTCTTCTGATTGAAGTCCAAAAAATACTTCCAGGGACTTTTGTAACTTTCAACATATTTCTTTACACACATGATGTAAAAAAAACTGTACTCCTTTTTGCCAATCAGGATCAAGTAATTTTTTCAAGTGTATTATTAACAACTCAAAACAACATTACTGTAAATGTTAAATGAGAATGAAAAGTATACTCACCATTTAGCTTGCTGTCGCTTTCAACTGCCAAACTGTGGGGCAACTCTAAGTCAAGCTGCTGCTGTGTTAGAATGCTGTAGTTTTCTGCCGTGCTGTTTTCCTTCACCAGATGGTAAAGTTTTAGGTCAAATAACCCGGGAAAGTTTAATGGCTTTCTCTTTGAGTCTGAATAAGTCGGCAAGGTGTTTTTTGAAATTGTCGATACCTTGTTTCATACTGTCTGCCGTGACTGAAATATGTGCTTTACATATCTTGATCCGTTTTTCCCTAACTCTTCGATATATACTAATGACCACCTGTACAGCACTTGACATCATGCTTTGTAAAATTAAACGAACAGCAACGGCAATGTTATGCAAATCGACCCATTTAAAATATGACGTGATTTGTAACTACTATAACATCATTCATAAATGAATAACTAAAGTTTTAGGACACCGGAAGTGTTTCCAGACAGAAGTCAGTTCTGTTGCTGACCATTTTTACCTGAGACTAGAAGTTAAGGACTTGCATATAAATGTATTTTTGTGACATATTAAAGTGATCATTTCTGAACATCAAAACTTGACCCCATATACGTGTAAGTCAATCGTTTAGTACTTAATAATTATTACTGGTATCTGAGCCATTTGATGGCTAATATTGGCTTGCTCATTTGAAGGTTGACGATAAAAATATTGTGTTTTCGACGGTTGACAGTCAATTTTTTGGCCATTTTGACGGTTAGCAGTCAACCCCATTGACACCCTCATGTAAGACCAGTACAAAAATGTTTTACAAATTTCCAGAGCATGACTTAGTAGTGTGCATTGAGTACTACTTCCACAGGATGGTTTTACCTTAGTTTGTTGCACTGCCTCCTCAATAGCTTCAACAACTGGCTCATCTAAACTGATGCTGCCGCATTTTACTGGCTCTAAGTTGAGTGCAGGTACCGTTTTCAGCCAGCCTTGTACTTCTGATAAAGGCTTGGACCTGTGAAGAACATTTATCTCAAGTTACTTTCATGCTCTGCTGGAAAAGTTCTTGCAAGTAAAATGCAAAATACTGCATCTTCACTTCTTGTGCCCGCTTGAATGTTCCTGTGGTGCAAGAACTGCTTGTGCTACTTCTTGCACGTGCATAATTTATTTTTGCACTGTACTGTAGTGCTTTCCCTCATGCGAGTTAAGAGGTTGTAAATACTTATCATCCATGTTGATTAAAGAATTGTATAGCAGGGTATAACATTTCATGTGGTTAATTTTGCCAAAATTAGGTCTTGTGAAAATAAGTAACAACAAGGTACTTCTCTCAAATCAAATACTCTATAAAACCGTCTTTGCAAACATCTCCACTGGCAAACAACCATGAACAAGGAAGTAAAATTTCTATCTGAGAGATACCTACATGTATGTGAGTTTTAATCTCTGAACTATACCTGCCATAGCCGTAACAGAAAAAAGTTAATTGTAAAATTAAATTTTCATGGCATGTGTTTGGAAGAAATCGTAAGTGTTGACTTAATCAAACAATAGGTCATTAACTCTGAATAATGGAATAACAAAGGACCTCACCCATTTCCATCTTTATCCAAATCCTTTGCAAAGCAGCGATCATTTGAGGACATCTTAGCCAGGTATTCAAAAAGCTTAGGAAACCTAGGTTAAAAAACAGGTATTCTTATGTTAGAAAGAGTGCCCTTTAGGTAAATTCATTGCATCCCAGCCTTTCAGTGCCTTTACTTGCAATCTGATAGCTTCCATCACAGGTTCTAAGTTTACAACCATCATTTTTCAAAAGCAGAGTCTCAATATTATTACTCAGTCTATTCATGGTCAACGGAATTGCCTGATTTCAAAACCGGTCAATTAGATGTGAAGTGACATCTAAAACATTGAGATGACTGTCAGAGAATACAAGTTCAAATATAATGGTGGGATAGAGAGATCTGACATATTGAGTGAAAGTTTCTAAGGTGGGAGGCTTTTGAGGCCTAAGGCATTCCTGGTTTCAATAGAACTGATGTGTATTCCAAACCAACAGAGAGTCATTTATACCTCACCCCTCTCCAGTTCCCATCCACAACATGTATTTAAAGCCTTGCTATTGTGGTTGCCTTAAGATTGAGGAGGAACTGCTCCCAAGATGATTTTTTTAAGCAAAAGATGTGAAGAATACCAAGGTTATTTGGTGAACCGAGGCTATCCAGTAAACCTAATTGACAACAATTTTCTATAGCTTCAATTATTCCAGGGAAACATTTACCCAAGCAAAAAATCAGGGCTTGATTATAAACACATTTGTAACAACTTTCAACCCACACTGGCGCAACCTAAATTGCATCATCAAAAAACAACTACATTTTTGGAATCTAATCTTAAATTAAAAGAATTTTCCAAAAAATTTCATCATTCCATCGTACTGCAAATCCAAAAATCTCAAAGTAATTTTAGCACCTTCTAAATTTGAACCTATGACCTCGCAAANGGCCAAATTATCAGTAGACACGAATTACTGCTCGAAAATTCGCTTCGACTAAAACAATGAGCAGCGGGAAAATTCGTTGAATTTTCTTCCAACTTTCGAGGTGAACAAAACTTCGCCATTTTTCGTCGAAAAGCCCCGAAATTCGCAAATTTCGTTGAATTATGCTCTCATTACTTTTGCACAATACTGTACATCTCTCACGCACTCATCCATTGATCCGTTTATAACACAGCCCAGAACTGTTGATTAAGACGTATTTTTTTTACAAAAAAAAATAACTCAAAAACACCCTCCTTAGAAACCAGGTCCCTAACCTTAAGAAGTCCGAGGTTATGGAAACTGGCAAAAAATGGATTTCCCCTCACTTAAAATATACCTGTTGTTCCAGATAATTTGATTTGTTATCCTTTCATAAGATGATGAGTCACTATTAATCATAGAAGACCAGGCTTGCAAACACTGTCTGTACATGACAGGAAGAGTAATGTATAATTTCCTACTATTTCTTCTGATTGAAGTCCAAAAAATACTTCCAGGGACTTTTGTAACTTTCAACATATTTCTTTACACACATGATGTAAAAAAAACTGTACTCCTTTTTGCCAATCAGGATCAAGTAATTTTTTCAAGTGTATTATTAACAACTCAAAACAACATTACTGTAAATGTTAAATGAGAATGAAAAGTATACTCACCATTTAGCTTGCTGTCGCTTTCAACTGCCAAACTGTGGGGCAACTCTAAGTCAAGCTGCTGCTGTGTTAGAATGCTGTAGTTTTCTGCCGTGCTGTTTTCCTTCACCAGATGGTAAAGTTTTAGGTCAAATAACCCGGGAAAGTTTAATGGCTTTCTCTTTGAGTCTGAATAAGTCGGCAAGGTGTTTTTTGAAATTGTCGATACCTTGTTTCATACTGTCTGCCGTGACTGAAATATGTGCTTTACATATCTTGATCCGTTTTTCCCTAACTCTTCGATATATACTAATGACCACCTGTACAGCACTTGACATCATGCTTTGTAAAATTAAACGAACAGCAACGGCAATGTTATGCAAATCGACCCATTTAAAATATGACGTGATTTGTAACTACTATAACATCATTCATAAATGAATAACTAAAGTTTTAGGACACCGGAAGTGTTTCCAGACAGAAGTCAGTTCTGTTGCTGACCATTTTTACCTGAGACTAGAAGTTAAGGACTTGCATATAAATGTATTTTTGTGACATATTAAAGTGATCATTTCTGAACATCAAAACTTGACCCCATATACGTGTAAGTCAATCGTTTAGTACTTAATAATTATTACTGGTATCTGAGCCATTTGATGGCTAATATTGGCTTGCTCATTTGAAGGTTGACGATAAAAATATTGTGTTTTCGACGGTTGACAGTCAATTTTTTGGCCATTTTGACGGTTAGCAGTCAACCCCATTGACACCCTCATGTAAGACCAGTACAAAAATGTTTTACAAATTTCCAGAGCATGACTTAGTAGTGTGCATTGAGTACTACTTCCACAGGATGGTTTTACCTTAGTTTGTTGCACTGCCTCCTCAATAGCTTCAACAACTGGCTCATCTAAACTGATGCTGCCGCATTTTACTGGCTCTAAGTTGAGTGCAGGTACCGTTTTCAGCCAGCCTTGTACTTCTGATAAAGGCTTGGACCTGTGAAGAACATTTATCTCAAGTTACTTTCATGCTCTGCTGGAAAAGTTCTTGCAAGTAAAATGCAAAATACTGCATCTTCACTTCTTGTGCCCGCTTGAATGTTCCTGTGGTGCAAGAACTGCTTGTGCTACTTCTTGCACGTGCATAATTTATTTTTGCACTGTACTGTAGTGCTTTCCCTCATGCGAGTTAAGAGGTTGTAAATACTTATCATCCATGTTGATTAAAGAATTGTATAGCAGGGTATAACATTTCATGTGGTTAATTTTGCCAAAATTAGGTCTTGTGAAAATAAGTAACAACAAGGTACTTCTCTCAAATCAAATACTCTATAAAACCGTCTTTGCAAACATCTCCACTGGCAAACAACCATGAACAAGGAAGTAAAATTTCTATCTGAGAGATACCTACATGTATGTGAGTTTTAATCTCTGAACTATACCTGCCATAGCCGTAACAGAAAAAAGTTAATTGTAAAATTAAATTTTCATGGCATGTGTTTGGAAGAAATCGTAAGTGTTGACTTAATCAAACAATAGGTCATTAACTCTGAATAATGGAATAACAAAGGACCTCACCCATTTCCATCTTTATCCAAATCCTTTGCAAAGCAGCGATCATTTGAGGACATCTTAGCCAGGTATTCAAAAAGCTTAGGAAACCTAGGTTAAAAAACAGGTATTCTTATGTTAGAAAGAGTGCCCTTTAGGTAAATTCATTGCATCCCAGCCTTTCAGTGCCTTTACTTGCAATCTGATAGCTTCCATCACAGGTTCTAAGTTTACAACCATCATTTTTCAAAAGCAGAGTCTCAATATTATTACTCAGTCTATTCATGGTCAACGGAATTGCCTGATTTCAAAACCGGTCAATTAGATGTGAAGTGACATCTAAAACATTGAGATGACTGTCAGAGAATACAAGTTCAAATATAATGGTGGGATAGAGAGATCTGACATATTGAGTGAAAGTTTCTAAGGTGGGAGGCTTTTGAGGCCTAAGGCATTCCTGGTTTCAATAGAACTGATGTGTATTCCAAACCAACAGAGAGTCATTTATACCTCACCCCTCTCCAGTTCCCATCCACAACATGTATTTAAAGCCTTGCTATTGTGGTTGCCTTAAGATTGAGGAGGAACTGCTCCCAAGATGATTTTTTTAAGCAAAAGATGTGAAGAATACCAAGGTTATTTGGTGAACCGAGGCTATCCAGTAAACCTAATTGACAACAATTTTCTATAGCTTCAATTATTCCAGGGAAACATTTACCCAAGCAAAAAATCAGGGCTTGATTATAAACACATTTGTAACAACTTTCAACCCACACTGGCGCAACCTAAATTGCATCATCAAAAAACAACTACATTTTTGGAATCTAATCTTAAATTAAAAGAATTTTCCAAAAAATTTCATCATTCCATCGTACTGCAAATCCAAAAATCTCAAAGTAATTTTAGCACCTTCTAAATTTGAACCTATGACCTCGCAAAACACCAATCCACTTGAGGGAGGTTGCTTTAAATGTGACAAAAACAGATGTGATCCAAGTAAAAATTATTTTATGTCCAGAGATTTTACTAGCTTAAAAACAGGTAAATCTTATGTCATTAGACCCAATTTTCAATTGTGACTCCAAAAACGTAATTGATTTGGTCTCTTACCAAGAATAATAATAGCAATAATAATGATAATGATAATGATAATGATAATAATAATAATTAACAATTATTCGCCAAAGGCGAAGTGAACATTGGTGAATATCCACCAATTTGGATAGCTGTTTTAGTATAATTTTCAGAGGTGAATATCAAGAACTACAAAATAACGGACTAAAACATAGAAACACAAAAACATAGACGCAATTGTTCTTGTGCATACACATATGCAGCGGTAGTTCTAATAATAAGCTTACATGTACATCGATTGTCAAGCAATTTACTTATCCAGTTCGACAGTAAAACAAATGAGCGAAACACTATGAAAAATAAATTCATCCGGTACCTTTGTGTTATCGTTGTTGACTTCTTCACAGTTGTCATCATCGCCTACAAATGAGTAGCTTTGGTTTGAAGAAAAATGAATTTTGGTCAATCAATCTGACCTGCTGGCGATCAACGTAACCACTGCGTTTAGGATTCTTAAAAGCCTTGAATACGAGTTCTTGAAAGATTTTTGGTCCAAGGGCGACAGCAGTCATTTTGAAAATTCTCCATCCTTTCAAATATCCTGGACTTGGAGTGATGTCTTTTGAATAAATGAAAACTTCATTCAGCAAATGTCTGCCATGTTTACTTGCCGAGATGGCAAAGATGGTGAGCTTAGTAACCAAGCTCTAGCGGGGTGAATATAGCGTCATATGATGAGCTTTTCGACCAATCAGAATGTCCAATTCTTATATTCACCAATAATAATAATAATAATAATAATAATAATACCTTATTTATATAGTGCTATTTCTATTGCTATCCAATAGCGCTTTACAAACCTGAGTAAAATAAAATAACTAATAAAAAAACTAAGCTGTTAAAATCAAAATAAAAACTAGGAATAATAAAACCTTCTAATAAAAACTTACTAAGTAACTAACTACCTACATTTCTTCAGTACATTGGCTCAACATCAACAGAATTAAAGTGAGATTTAGAAACCATAAATCATCCATGGTCACAAATGGAAACCTTGTGAAGTCGCAGTTCACTTCAATAGCACCCCACATTCGCTACTGGATTTTTCCTTTCAATGCATCAACCAAATTAACCACAATTGCACAAAAGCTGACAAATTTCTTATTACAAAGGAAGCTTATTGGAGTGCCCAACTATTGACGCTATCGCCTCATGGCCTTAACAGTGGACAAGAATTTCATTCAAAGTACAGAATTCATTTTAATTTGTAATGATTCACATTGTGTAACTGGGCCTTTTTCTATGATTAAAGTGCCACCGAAACAAAATTTTTGTATCCTATTTTATTGGCCCAATCTATAGTTTCAAACGTGCTTATAATCACCATGAACTTTATTTTTGTCAAATTGTAACAAAAGTGCTGTTTTTAGCTGCTGAAATCCACTTTTTGGACCAAAACTGTGTCCAGGCTCTGGAGTTTAAGGACCTTGTTACATCACTGGTAGTATACACACAGGGAGCACAATAGATTCTCTCATAGTTTCACTTGATTTATTTGAGTTAATTCTTCATATTGGCATTACCCACTAATTTTCTACCTTGTAATTTCTGTCCAGCCTTGACAGAAAATACACATTATAGATGTTGGAGGGAGCCAACGAGTTTAGATTAACCAAAATGAATGTGACAGATTAGAACAGTTTAGTACACCTTTCGAACATCTTGAGTACACAATTGGAGACTTCAAAGACGAGAGTGGCATCCTTTATATCAAGACTTCAAGCCTAAATGCGCTATACTGATTTGAAATTTGGATTCTCACGCTTTATATCAACAAGGTTGAATTTCTCCTCAGCAACTCTACTACAGTAAAAGTGGTAAGCGCATCAACCATCTGCACAATTGCAAAGTTATTTACGGTCCACAAGATTTGAATTGGGTTGAGTCCTCGATTGCATACAGAAGGCATCATTTTATCATAATAGTAAGTGAGAGTTGTTGTGGCAGATGAAGAGAATCCATGGACATTGTGATCTGCACAGAGTTTGCTTTACCGCTGCACATGTATAAGTGTAACAAAGCGGGAATTTTGCTTCTTTCATGCGTATCTACCAACATTTTATAGCTGATGAATTGCTGAGTTCTTTTAACATATACTTATGTCCATGATCTTTATTTTATAGTATCCAAGTTCAAAGTAATTTGTGAGAATGTCACTTTTTAGGCTCTGTTCCAAGGTTTAAACAGAAGGTCTAGATAGCAGCAGACATGTAAAGATTTTAAGGAAAACGACCACTTTTTTAAGTTTAAAAGACATGTTTCGACAGAACTTCTGTCATCTTCAGTTGAATGAATGATTACAAAGCAAGTTGTTACTATTTGTCTTAATTAGCATTTTTGCCTACTTATTATTCAACTTGCTTTGTAATCATTCATTCAACTGAAGACGACAGAAGTTCTGTCGAAACATGTCTTTTAAACTTAAAAAAGTGGTCGTTTTCCTTAAAATCTTTAAACAGAAGAATTTGAAATAATTTGCATATATCACCTTTCACTGCCAACACTGTCACGCTTTCTCTTGTTTCCCGAAAACAAGGAACTTAGCAGCTTAGTTTAGCCTTAGTGTGCTCCCCTCAGAAAGAAGAATGTTTCTTGAATTGTTGCTGTTGCGATAACTTGTAGGATGTAGCAGATTGATATAACTGGACGAAAGGTGAAGACAGACATCCGTATTACAAACTGTGTTTGGTTGCCTGTCAATTTGAAGTGTCCAGAGCTAAGTCAACCACTGAGGAGTTATCAAATAGCATTTCCTTGAATTTTTGATTGAAATGTTAGAGTGAAGTTGCATGCGAATCAGCTATGTAAACTTTAGCAGAATATTCAAAGCCAAACCTTCCCGTTCAATGAAAGGCAGCTTGTGGCCCGAGGCTATCAAGTCAAGACTCAAAGCATTGTTGCTGTGATTCCTGCCGTAGCACTCCAGATAATATTTTCAAAAGCTGCTTTCTCCAGTATTCATGTCATTTTTATTTTATGAAGGAGATCATGTTTAATTGAGTGCTGGCCATTTGACTATGCGTCCTGATCATTTTGCGATTTAAGAACTAGAATTGTTTCCATGAACGCATCACACTCAATTGCTCAGGCTGACCTAAAATATCCTGAAAATATCCATTTGATAGACTGAAAGGCCACAGAATCGACTCTCCTCCTCCACAGTGTGTAAGGCTACTGTTATTAACTGTTTTACAGCTCTGAGATGTCCTAAAGATGGTTTTTTGGGAGACTAGAACACTAGTCTCTTCTCCCACAATCAATCTAAATTTTCAGCACAGCATGAGAGTTATACGACCAGATGATGGCCACCATTTTTGGGCTCAACCAGCCATCTTCAAAAAGCTGGAAAAGCAGTTTTCACTTACCGCACGCATAAAAAAAGTCGGCAGTGTTTCCAAGTAAGGTTTAAACTTAATTATTAAACAAAAATCTCAGACAAAAATTTCATTTCAGTGGCACTTTATTAAGACATTTTGATTATTCCAGGGCTTTTTTCAGGGATTTTTTTGGTAGACGTTAATATATTGTACATTGCAGTGTTGTTCAAGGGCCCTCTCATAGGAATTTGTTCTGTTTTTCACTTTGATGTAAACAAGCTAGGCTTGTAAAAGTTGCAAAATTCCTTTGTTCCAGTGCTGTAAACCGATGAAGGTCTGAAGACCGAAACATTTTTAATAAATTTGCAATTTTTAAATACATACATGTAGCTCCAGAAGTTGTTCATCCATTGGCCTTTTTAAACTCATGGATACATGATGTGTAGAAATGAATTTGTTGCCGGAACTCTGATATGCAGATGTGTTACTCACTCACTCATTCACTAAATCACTCACTCACTCAGGTGTAGACACTGTTCATAATTAGTCAGCTTGAAGGAGAGTGCCCAAGTCCGATGCCATGTTGGAATAGTAACCGCACAGTCAGCACGAGCCTTGCTCGTGTCTAAGTGGTTACTACTCAAAGCGTGCTTTGTGCCAGCCCAAATTAATGATTTTGTAGCTTTTATACAACCATTAATATTAGGTGTTGTGCTACATTGAAGTGGCCAACTTGAAGGCTGAATTTCATGAACCTTTGACTCGTTCAGGCGATAAACATGATGAGGAGATGAGCGTTTGCTCTTTCGATGCCCTTTGACCCCTCAAGTTCATAGGGGGTATATAAATTCGAGCTTCCTGGAAAATGAAAATGATTAAATCTCATGCTAATGTGGTGAGCTTTGATGAGAATGTGTCTTATTTGTCGACCCAGAAGCATATCAGGACGACCTTAATGAACTTATATGATTGAAATGAACAGTTCTTAATGAACAAAACAGCTATTGAAAACAGGACAAACATTGGCACCATTATATAATATTGTAATTTCACTTTTAAGGCTACCAGTCTCAAAGAGGAGTAGCCACAAATGTTATCACCTTTGTAAGTCTGTCTGTAACCTTAACGTTCAGATAGTTTTCATAGCCCTTCCATGTAAACTTAATCCTTGAATAGTTTCCAAAGCCAATCAGAGTGCGTTCATACACGCATAATCACCGGATAGTGTTAGTGGCCAATCAGAGCATCGACGGTCCCTGTCAGTCGATGAATCAGAAGGCTACCAAAGCAATGAACTGATGTCGAACAAGTGCTCCCAAATTAAAGGCCATTTAGTATAAAACAAAAGTGAATGTTTAATTCGATCCAACGACCGCTTTCACAGCGGTCTTGAACAAAAACTTTCGCGATTGAGAGACGTTTTTTCTTCTGCGAACGTTTCAAATTTCCATACCGTCTCACTTTCTTTTATGATTACAGTGCTTTATGGCTTGAACAGTTCTATGTTCCTGTACCTTTATAAACGCAAACCATCTGCTAGCTAGTAGCTCGAAAGAAAAAGAAGAAGCTCGAAAGACAAAAAAAGTCTGTAATAGGATTCGAACCACCAGCCTCAACCCACTAACACCTGATCCTTGGGCACAAACCTTAACACTTTGCCAACTAGACACTTGTGAATAA